CCCTACAAACATACTATGTAGTCGAAATTGCATTAGGCTGCACCACAAGAACATACAGCGAACATCAACCGTGATCGTCGTTTCTACTCTCATAGAGATAATACATATTGAGCAGATTAGTAAAATGGCATTTCCCATAGAAAGGTGTCTGTTTAATAGCATTAATTAATCGGTAACTGGATTATGGACTTGCAATCGTTATGAGGCTATTATTAATCCCCTGCTGAGTAACCAATATCCAGTAATATTAATGCCAACGTTACATCATTCTATCTGTCTACTGTATTTATACCCATCATTATCTCCATTAAATTTCAAAACTTCATTCCAATTGCTATTTACCTCCTTGTTACGTTGTCGATCCTTTTAAAACGTCAATTAAAAATCTAATCGACTTTCGTATAACATATATCAGATTTTTTTTCGAATACCAGTACGTTTCGTACTCCATGAGCAGCAATAAACTCAGAGATATTCAAATATTCCTAAAGCTTGCATAGAAATATGGCACTTTGTCTCTCGATTATTTCATTTTCCATTTCCCGATACGATCTTGAAACGTATTCGTTTGAACGAAGTAAATAATACCCTGTTCCCACCATTTTCTTCGATCTTCGAAGCGTCAACAGGCCATTCATCCCACACGCCATTAAAAGCTAAGAGCCTCGCAGATCAAGTATATTCTCCAAGTACATTTTCTCCTCTTTCAAGCGTATGGACTTTTATGTACATTTTATGTACCAGGCAGGAAGAAAGATAGGAGGAAAGGAATTAATCTGCTCGTGAGGAGTGAAGCATTTGTTATATATTTTTTATCATCGACTGTACTGGATTTTCATGGGGCAAGTATGAAATCGTTCAAGTTCACTCGCTTCGCCAAACTGGGCATAGCCGGTTCTGCGGTCGCTGAATTCGTTCCAACCGCTGCCGTTTACGAACCGTTGTTTCAACTATTATTGAAAAAGCGATAATGGCTATTGTCGCTCAGCAAAAATGCTTTCTTGTCATACCGGCTGCGGTCAATTAGTTAATCACCCGATAGAAAAAGAGTCGACATAACGTGTGCACTACGTATGTCGCAAATCTCGCGAAATTGCTAACCACGTGGATTTTACTCATTATCGAAACTGGTTTAATAAGATCACTGGTCGTTTAGTGGGTCGAGAGCCACCTGGGAAGCCAAACCAATTTTATCGCGGTTACATGTCATCAAAAATGTCGAGAGCTTTAAACTGTCTGCGATTTAACGTAACATCACGTAACCGTGAAATTTCGTTTGCTCGTGAATGACATTTTTCACATTTTCTCATAACTTCGGAGAGGTACCTCGTCGCTTTACTGTCTAAAAATGTAAAAATTTCGCTGACATTTTTCGATTAAATTATCACGATTTTCGTTTCACATGGAATTATCAAATTCGTTTGTGATTAACGTAAACAATTTTACTTCTATCTTATTTTAAATCCCACGAGACGCTAGTCTTGAACTATACTATCTACGAATCGAATGTCCGAATAACAATTGGGTTTTCAACAACCGTTAATAGCTAAAATTGCACTGGTTGCAAAGATTCGCGCAGTGTTATTCGTATCGATCATTTGGTATTCCTTCCAAAAATTGTTTCTATCGATTTTTGCGACACATTCGATGGAGCGATTCATCTTCGTTTATGATATTGACAAGGTTACATGAAAATATATTTCTCCGAAAACGAAAAAAAGAAAGAAGGAAAAAAGGAAAAAAGGGGAAAAAGAAAAAGGAGAAAAGGAAAAAAGGAAAAGCAAACG